GCGTACTTTGACGTAAAAGCCGTTTATACAATACCTGCCCTGTAGCGTCACATATGTGAAATATGTAAAATATCTGCCCTGTAGCGTCACGTAGGTACAATACCTGCCCTGTAAGGGCGCTCCAAAGATTGCCGTACTTTGACGTAAAAGCCGCTCCGGCGTGTTATTTACTCGCGGCTACATGAAAGGCTGACATTTGCCGGCATTACTGAGGCTAATGGCGGTATTTTTCCTGAAATACAACCCGAAATCCGCTCGGTTTTCACCGGTTTGGTTTTATAGCATCTTATATATGGTGTCTGGCGCGTTCATTACCTGCTTGGGTTGCACATTTGGTATTTAAAGGTATTGCTGTTAGTAATACCCACATCTATCCAGTTAGTAATAGTCACATCTATCCAGTTAGTAATACCCACATCTATCCAGTTTGGCATTAAAGGCTTTACCGTTGGTAATAGTCACATCTATCCAGTTTGTAATAGTCACATCTATCCAGTTTGTAATAGTCACATCTATCCAGTTTGTAATAGTCACATCTATCCAGTTAGTGATAGTCACATCTATCCAGTTTGTAATAGTCACATCTATCCAGTTTGTAATAGTCACATCTATCCAGTTAGTAATAGTCACATCTATCCAGTTTGTAATAGTCACATCTATCCAGTTTGGCATTAAACCTTTTACTTTTGGTAATTAAAGTCACATCTGTCCAGTTTGTATGTCAGAATGGTCTCAGGTTACCAGCTGGTTTAGTCCTGAAGCCGCCATCCCCAGGAAAGTGTGTGTGTCTGACCTGTAGTTACCTGCTGTAGTTACCTGTTATATTTCCATGTTGTAGCCCCATAGTTAGTGGTCATTACACTTATCGGTATACAGTTCCCGGCTATAGTTACCGACTATAGGTATGCTGTAGTTAGTACTCATTACTCTAATCGGCGCGCAGTTACCAGTAATTATCGGCTAAAGTTACCTGCCTTGGATACATCACGGTAACCGTTGTAGCTCCATGTTGAAGGCTGTAGGTATGCTGTAGTAAGTACTCATTACCCCAATCGGCGCGCAGTTACCAGTAATTACCGGCTATAGTTACCTACCGTGGATAGTTACATGTTGTAGGCCCATGCTGTAGTTAGCGCGCAGTTCCCAGTAATTACCGGTAATCCCAGGGTCCATCTCAGGGCAGAAAATCGTCTGCGTCCTCCCGTGACCTTCAGACGCCCGTTGGTGAAGGTCAGTTTGCGCGGGAAATATTCCCTGCAGCTCGCATATCTACCCGCGGCACTTCCGACACTTGATGGAATATTTTAGTTACGTCGATGAAGATTAGACATCCAGGTAATAAGATACGCCAAAAAGCAGTTACTCAAGCAACTGGATATGATTTTGGAAATGGTCAGACGTTTCAGCTAGTATCCACTACCTTTCGTCAGTGACTGAGACCAGAGGAGAAATGCAGGTTTATAAGCACAAACTATTGATTGATATGCAAATAAAGTGAAGGCAATTTTTGGAATTTTTTTTAGTTGATGCTTTTCTGTGACCTGGCGAGGACTACTGTATGATGTCTGCGAGTTTTCTCGCCAGGCGAGTTGATGACGTCATGGGGATTTACGGCAACCTTTTCAACATCTGAAGCTGCTGTCTGTCACCATGGCAACTGCCACAGACGTACAGCTGAAGCTGACGTCCAATGAATGCCCCAATTTGCTATCCTGAACATTTCGATAACGGTAACTACACTGAGCCTTCAGTACAGTACACGGTAAATACATGTCCTTGTGATCAGGGCTTAACAGTAACTCTGCTGAACCCGCAGTAAGATAAATACGACAGCTCCTTGCGATAGGGACCCAGCCGTAACGAAGACATCCCCGAGGTAATTTGGAATTAATTGGAAAATGTAATTAACTCTCGGTCTCGGTAAGAGAAGCGTATCCGCGGATATGTCTGATTGCAGCTGATAAGGCAGGAGAACCGCCCTGGCGTCGGCTGATCGGTTAGACGGCCGCCGCTGGGGTGTGTGTGTGTGCGTGTGTGTGTGTGTGTGTGTGTGTGTGTGTGTGTGTGTGTGTGTGTGTGTGTGTGTGTGTGTGTGTGTGTGTGTGTGTGTGTGTGTGTGTGTGTGTGTGTGTGTGTGTGTGTGTGTGTGTGTGTGTGTGTGTGTGTGTGTGTGTGTGTGTGTGTGTGTGTATTTGTGTGTGTGTGTGTGCGTGTGTGTGTGTGTGTGTGTGTGTGTGTGTGTGTGTGTGCGTGTGTGTATGAGTGTGTGTGCGCGCGTCTGTGTCTGTGCGTGTGTGTATGAGTGTGTGTGCGTGTGTGAATGTGTGTGTATGTATGTGTGTGTGTGTGTGCGCGCGTCTGTGTCTGTGCGTGTGTGTGTGTGTGTGTGTCTGTGCGTGTGTGAATGTGTGTGTGTATGAGTGTGTGTGCGTGTGTGAATGTGTGTGTATGTATGTGTGTGTGTGTGTGTGTCAGTAGCTCTAGTAATGACGGGAAACAAGACATAGATTCCTACACATGTATCACAGCAGATCTACCGGCGGATATTGCGCTATTTCTTACCTCATGTTTGGTTCAGGTTTTCTGTGTTAGTTTCAGTCCTTTTGTAGCAGTAGTTTTCACAGCGTCTCTACAACATTATATAACGTTATTTAGATGTTTGCCTGGAGCACAAAACACACGGAAGCGCTCGTGACGTATCGCGGGTTTATTTTCGTATTATCCTCATCCTTTACATCTATCTCAAACAGTGTTCAGCAGTTCAGCAGATATATCATTGTCGCAAGCAGGTACATTAGTAAACAGCGCACCACTGAAGGTAATTTTCAGTCTGCACCTATGGAATAACTTCATGTCACTGTGAAGGACACACCGTCTGAATAACGTTGTAATGTACATGTTACATATAGCTCTGAGCGGTTATACCGGCTATACAGATAAGTATGTTACGCGGATATATTATACAGATACAGAAGCTAGTGTGTTACGCCGAAGGGCGGTTATACCGGCTATACAGATACAGAAGCTGGTGTGTTGTGCCGAATGGCAGTTATACCGGCTATACAGATACAGAAGCTGGTGTGTTACGCCGAAGGGCGGTTATACCGGCTATACAGATACAGAAGCTGGTGTGTTGTGCCGAATGGCAGTTATACCGGCTATACAGATACAGAAGCTGGTGTGTTACGCCGAAGGGCGGTTATACCGGCTATACAGATACAGAAGCTGGTGTGTTACACCTAAGGGCAGTTATACCGGCTATACAGATACAGAAGCTGGTGTGTTGTGCCGAAGGGCGGTTATACCGGCTATGCAGAAACAGAAGCTGATGTGTTACGCCGAAGGGCGGTTATACCGGCTATACAGATACAGAAGAGGATTGTTATAGTTACCAGCTATACAGATACATGTAAGTCCGCAGTGTTACCCTATCATCCCAGGCTTGAGTCTGACAAATCGTTCCTAGCCGCAGATTTTGCCTCCCGCCCGGCCCTGATCGGGCGATAAGCCGCCCAGACCCTCCCGGGACCCGGAAGCGGCACGGAACGCGCATTCCTGCCGTCCATCGCGATACAGACATGCGCACGGTCCTCAATCATAGCGATGCACCAAACGGCCGGCAACAAATTTCCGACATCCAACCGTTAATCACAAAGTCTGGGCGGCTGGATTACAAAGCAAACACTGTCTGCAGCGAGTTTTATTGCGAACCTTCCCGGTGTGAGTGGTTCAAACCTTACACTTTACAGGCTGGTCTCGGGGTTGACATCTTGAACAGGTCATATTTACCTGTTATGTCAATCCTTCTACAAGTGTGGTAAATCGTCATAAAATAAAATAAAAGAATATGAAAAACAAATAAAAAACTCACTTCTGTCCAATTGTGTTCACAAGTAATCACATCAGAAGGGTCACGCGGCTTATTTTGTTTTCAAACGTTTCCCAAATATAATTTTCCCTTCCATGAAGACACGAGCACACAAAAAGCTGGATATTTTACTGCACGAGTTTTCCATAAGCATTGGCTGTCCTTTTCCAGGCTTTTTGGAGCAATGACGGGATATCACAGCGAAACACGCCGTTTCAAACGCAGCATGTCTGTAAAGTCGGTGCTTTATAATCAGGTAAGTCTGTCTAAAGTAAGGAGCTAGTTGTCGTGGCCACATTTTCACATCACGTTTGCCACGATACTTTCGGCGATCTGGAAGTCGGTTACGCAATTGTGACGTCATTACTACAGCACAATCCCCGACCCACGATGACGTCATGCCCTCGGGGCGCGAGTTAGTTAAGCGGCGCTACGTTACATGAATAGCATATATATATATATACATATATCATATGTCATATGTCAGATTGTGTGGAGTTTCTTTCTTTCAATACACCAATCGTCATCACCATGTTTTGCGACCACAGACAACGTTATGGACAAACACTCACGTTTCGCTTCTGGCAACTGGACCGAAGTTCCGTCCGGGAAGGTCCAATTCTCACAGCAGTTTTTCTGCAGGGATTTTCCACGATATTTGATTTCACAAAAACAAACTCACAGTTCAGGTGTAGGTACCAACAGGTGTACCTTAGTACAGATGTAGGTACCAACAGGTGTACCTTAGTACATGTGTAGGTACCGACAGGTGTACCTAAGTACAGGTGTAGGTACCAACAGGTGTACCTTAGTACAAGTGTAGGTACCAACAGGTGTGCCTTAGTACAGTTGTAGGTAACAACAGGTGTGCCTTAGTACAGGTGTAAGTAACAACAGGTGTACCTTAGTACCTTGGTACAGGTCTACCCTAGTACAGGTGTATTTTAGTACAGGTGTACCTGCCAACAGGTGTACCTTAACAAGTGTAGTCCACAGGTATAGTCCACAAGTGAAGGTTATAACAGGTGTACCTGCGTCCACAGGTGTAGTTTCTGACAGGGGTAAGTTCCAACAGGTGTACCTGCGTCCACAGGCGTTAGTCCTATTCAACAGGTGTACCTGCGTCCACAGGTGTTAGTCCTATTCCCTTTGGAAGACGAACTCGTTGTAGTGGCTCCAGGCGCGCTCGGCCTCGTGCACGCCGCCCGTGCTGCCGGGTCCGGACTGCACGCTGCCGTACGCCGTCCCGTTAGCAGCGGCGGACGCCAGGCGGAACCCAGCCTCCGCAAGCATGTCGAAGGCCTGCTCCAGGTATGTGTGTTTCAGGTAGAAGCGGGAGGTGTAGCGGTCGGGCATGCCGCGGTCCGGGTCCCGAGACTCGTTCAGCGTGTCCGCGAACACCTCGCGCGCCACGTTCACCTTCCCGCACACGAAGATGCGCGCCAGCTTGCGGAACTTGACGTCCGTCACGCCGTTGGGCCCGAATGCGAAGGTGCCGCAGTAGCCTATGGTGATGAAGCCGGGCTTCTTGCCGTCCTGTTTAGCGGGGCTGGGCGGGGCGGGCTCGGGCGCGGGTTTGGGCTGGATGGGCGCGAGCGTGGCGCGGCCGCACTGCGGGCACTGCGAGACGGACCCGCCCGTGTGCTTGGCCAGCGCGGCCACCATCTCCCCCAGCTGGAAGTGCTCCGCCTCGGCCCGGAGCCGCTCCTTCTCCGGGAAGCCGGCCGGCAGCAGCAGCTGGTCCGTGCGGAGGAAGTCCAGCACGAAGCGGAACAGCGCCCCGTCCCGGTCTAGAAAGTACCTGCCGGTGTCGTCCCGTGGCGGCGCGCTGAGGCTGCCCGGGCCGGCAGAGAACATCCGCCCGAGCAGCGAGTCCGGGCGGCGCCGGAGCGTCTGCAGGGTCGCGGCGTAACTCGCGCCGCCCACGTTCAGCGGCACCACGCTGGGGAACAGGTCACGCTCACTAGACATGCTGCCCGGGCGCCTGGGCTGGTGCAATGCTTCCCCACCTGTCCGTATCCCTGCTCCGCTCTACACTACCTCCCGGTACTCTGCTTCCTTGCGCCTGGGCGGGACGGCAGAGCCTCACCCGTCCTGTATCCCTGTTCCAGTCTACACAATCTGCCGGTACTCCTTACAGGTACTCCTTCCGGTGCTTTCCTTACAGTATGGAACTTCTTTAGCGTCTGGGCGTGGCGGCAGAGCTTTACCTGGGCTGGTGAAGTACTATCCTGTACTCCTGTTTCAGTCCACACTTCTGCAGTACCTGCAGCTGTCTGTATCCCTGCTCCACTCTACTCTATCCGCAGCTGTCCCTGCTGCAGTCCACACTTCTGACTCTGCACTATCTGCCAGTGTCCCTGCTGCAGTCCACACTTCTGACTCTGCACTATCTGCCAGTGTCCCTGCTGCAGTCCGCACTTCTGCACTAACCACCTGTATCCCTGTTTCAGTCCTGCACTATCCGCCGCTATCCCTGCTTGCCTTGCGGTGTCGAACTTCACGGATCCTCAAAAAAAATTATGATTACCGAAACGCTTCACGACTCTCCAGTCCGAGCTCAGGCTGTTGAGAAGAGGCTCGTCTGTATCCCTGTAACTCTACACTATCTTCCGAAGAAGAAAAAGGTACACAATCTTCACTTCTGCTGTCTGTATCCCAGATCCAATCCACACGATCCGCAGGTTACTCTGCTTGAGTCCGCACGTCTGCACTATGCGGTTACCCCTGCGTGCCTTACAGTTACAGTATCGAACTTCACGGATCCTCAATAAAAATAATAATTACCGAAACGCTTCGCGACTCTCCAGCCCGAGCTCAGGCTGTTGAGAAGAGGCTCGTCACGCCGACCAATCAGCGCTCAGTACTCTTCACGCCGACCAATCAGCGCTCAGTACTCTTCACGCCGACAAATCAGCGCCCAGTATCGGCCCTGCGGGATGTTCGCACGGTTCGTATGGTAGGAACGGCAGTTTGTAACGTTACATACAGAAGCGGGCAGCTCAACCTGCATGTGAGTAACGTTAAATACAGAAGCAGTAATCTTGTATAACGTTACCTACAGAAGCGGGCAGCAGGACCTGAGGCGGCAGCGCGCGTGCGTCACCAGTTGCCCGGGAAACGGCTGGCGGCTCGTCTGTCGGACGGAATCTGCGTCACTCCGGCTGTACAAACGCCGGTCCGAGGTAGCCATGTTCCGTACCGATCCCCGGGCAGGGGCGTCCCCAGGGTGGGGACAGGGCGTCCCCAGGGTGGGGACAGGCGGGCAGAGCTGACTGTGTTCCGTACGGATCCCCGGGCAGGGACGTCCCCTGGGTGGGGACAGGGAGTCCCCTGTAGTCGAGACAGAGAGCTACACTTGGGTGGGGCCAGGCGGGTAGGGAGCCCCCGGGGTGGTGAGGGCTCCCCTGGGGTGGTGTATGGCTCCCCAGGGGTGGGACAGGCGGGCAGGGAGGAACTAGGGGTGGGGAAAGAGACTTGGTGGCAGTGCGATGCGATGTTGTAGGTCGGTCTATAAACCATAACCTGCGTCATTGAGCGGAGCCGGGTCTGAGCTTGACGTTGAATGATGGGTAAACTTTTCTAGTCTTTGCTTGTTCCGGGAAATGTGGAGTATTTATAGCAGTCCTGTTTCCGCACCTCCGTCTCTGTCAGAAACCCTGGCAGCTCATGTATATACTCTGTATAACCTCCATATATGCATCTCTGTCAGGCAGGCCCGGCAGCCCATTTATAACATTCTTCCCTGCAGCTCCAGACACGCAGGCCGCATTCTGACGAGCTGCGCTGATTCCCGCTGATGTAACGGAAGGTTGGGCCACTCTGAACCTTGGGGCAAATAAATGGTCATGAGAAGGGGGAAAACAGCATCCATTTTCCTTTCCCGGGGCGGAACCACCTTTTTTTACTTTTTATTTTTTATTCCAACATGTAATCACCAGCCGTGGTGACGCCACACTCAAGTTTTTCAACTTATATTAATGCCGCCGCCAACACGGGACAAATACATGACAGGACAATACTCATTTTCACCTGAGCGAAGTGAGGAAAATCGTGTAAAGTGCCTTTCCTGTACAGGTGGGACCGGACAGCACATGAGCCGTGCTGACGTCATCCCCAGGTCTCCTAAGGCCGTGTATTTAAGCGCCTTCCGCCCGTGATTCCATTTTACGCGTCAGGCCATGTTGATCTGCGCGTAACAAGTTTGCTCGGGTTTTATTTCAGCGGCGGCTGGCCTATCCGCCGGGAGGATGCCGGTAATTGGATCGGGGCGCGCCGAGTGCGCAAGACGTGATATTTACACTCCTCCGGGCAGGTTGTGTGGAAGACTGGCAGGTCGCGTTTGTAAAGTACAGACCGGGAAGCGAGCTGGAGAGAACTTCCCATTCTCACCAGGAAATGAACTAATCTCGCTTCGCGTGCAGAGCTCCCGGCTGACTCGTGTTTGTGAACAGGATTTTGTGCCTACCGTTTGACCCGTGAAGCACGTTTGCCGGTTAATCAGTGTTATCCGCGTGTTCAGTGCAGGGCTTAGGGCGGATCTGGAGAGGCGAGGGAAGCGCTGCGACCTCTACCTGCCCCGTGAGGCTGTAAGATGGTTAATAAGTGTGCTCAGGAAGGTTCTATGAGAGACGAGTAAAGCATTGCGACCTTGCCGTACCCCGTGAGGCTGTAAAAGCTGGTTAATAAACAGGTTAATAAGTGTGCTCAGGAAGGTTCTATGAGAGACGAGTAAAGCGCTGCGATCCCGTACCCCGTGAGGCTGTAGAAGCCGGCTTGCTGCAGCATCGCGCTGTCTGGTGTGGATTTCCCGGGCGGAGTTCGGTCTCCGGTTATTACGTTAGCCGGGATATAATTGTCTACCGTACATACATGTATAACCTACCTCCTGTACGCGTAATTGTCTACTGCGGCGCGACAGGCGCGTAGAACGCAGCTGCGTAAAGCGGGGCTCAGCAATCAGCCTGCGGGAAAAACCTGCTGTAAACTATTAATTAAACTCTTTTCCAACTGGCAATTAGCCCTCGGGCAAGCATGTGCAATTAACTATATTTCAATTACTGGCTGTTAAATTTGACGCGTCTCCAATGAAAGTCGGACAAACGTTCCCAGCAAATTTCTGACATATAATATACATATATCATTTTAAAACCTTTAAAACAATAATTGCAATGCAAACTAATCTTACCTATTGACTAGTTAGTGCACACACAATGCACACAAACCTTACATCCTGGTTAGGTAGTAGTTAGTGCACACACAATACACACAAACCTTACATCCTGGTTAGGTAGTAGTTAGTGCACACACAATACACACAGACCTTACATACTGACTAGTTAGTGCACACAAAATACACACAAACCTTACATACTGACTAGTTAGTGCACACAAAATACACACAAACCTTACATACTGACTAGTTAGTGCACACAAAATACACACAAACCTTACATACTGACTAGTTAGTGCACAGCAAGTGAATCTATCCCAGAACTAACGTCACACCGGCCGGTCTGAATCCATCACGACCATAACTGCCTCCCGGCCCGGTTTATTCCAACCTGACCTCCTGACATGAAACATCGCCACGGAGAACAGAAGAGCTAGCCCGGCGTTGCCGTTACAAATCGGATGGCACCCAGGCTACAGAACGGCAGGGACGGGGTTGCCGTTACAAATCGGATGGCACCCAGGCTACAGAACAGCAGGGACGGGGTTGCCGTTACAAATCGGATGGCGCCCGGGCTACAGAACGGCAGGGACGGGGTTGCCGTTACAAATCGGATGGCACCCAGGCTACAGAACAGCAGGGACGGGGTTGCCGTTACAAATCGGATGGCGCCCGGGCTACAGAACAGCAGGGACGGGGTTGCCGTTACAAATCGGATGACGCCCAGGCTACAGAACAGCAGGGACGGGGTTGCCGTTACAAATCGGATGGCACCCGGGCTACAGAAGAGCAGGGACGGGAATCTATTGGTGACAAGCCGAATGCCGCGTGGGGCTATGACGGTCGAGCAGAGAAACCTCAGACCTTAGTTCCTCCTATGCCTGATGGCACATCGGGCAGCAAGTTTCCACTTCCTTTCATCGGCAGCTACCGACTCTGCCTCCTCCCAGAGGCTACAGAGAGAACAGGATTCAGGGAGCAGAGAAAGGCTCCCGGATAGATGGGCCAGGACAGAGTTGTGCAGGGAGAGCAGAGAAAGGCTCCGGATAGATGGGCCAGGACAGAGTTGTGCAGGGAGAGCAGAGAAAGGCTCCGGATAGATGGGCCAGGACAGAGTTGTTGTGCAGGGAGAGCAGAGAAAGGCTCCGGATAGATGACTGAAGTACCGCCGTCTCCATCCCTGACCCAAACAGACCGTGTTGAATCGAGGGCGCCTGATCTATTGTCATGTGTTTTGTAATAGGAAGCAGCATCATGGAGGGGGGGGGGCAAAACCTGCGCTTCTTATCTGTGGGATTTTCGCTTCAGCTGAAGTCTTCCGCGTCCGTTACTGACAGCCTGGGGACAGTGGTCATATTTGTCTTCTTGTCTTGTCTTTGGGGTTAAGGAAGCCAACATCAACTTACTGATGATTCTGCTACACTGTAGTATTTGGGCTGTAGAATTTGTACCATCGCACACCGGGGCATGCCCCTACTCTTTTTCGAAAGGTGTGGTGGGATCTTTAACGTGCTCGAGGTGTGGCTCTCCTCAAACACGGGACCTCCAGTTTACGTCCTATCCAATGGACATCCCTAACAGAAGCTAAGTACTCATTTACACCTGAGATAAGTGAGGAAATTCGTGTAAAGTGCCTTTCCCAGGGGCACAAGATCGGTGACATGGGTGGGGATCGAACCTCTGGGTCCCGAGCCGAACGCGCTACCGCTGCGCCACACGACCCCACGCACTATTTGAAGAATACCCAATCTACGAACATGCATCACGTATGAATATGCTCTAGTGCAGTGTAAATAGCACTGTAAATACTGCCTTAGGTCCACAGGCAATCATCCACCCCGGAATCACCGCCCAACATGCCGTCGTCATGACAACGGTTGCTGGGTAACGATGACGTCACCAATAGACAGTCCACAACTATGTGGGATGTAGCAGTGTTCTGACTTTCTCCACACTCCTTTGCACGGTCAATATTTCATTTTATTCATTTATTTGAAATCGCAACAACTACAAATAAACAAGTAGATAGTAGTTACCCAGGCAGCCCCAGCTGATATCGGACAACACATAAAACACATGAACAGACATGGTATACATAATAACATACCCAGTCAATATTGTCTGGACTAAACTGTTTCTGTACAGTTGTATTAGGCTAAGTAGCCATGCTCCAAAATGCCCACCAAAGATTCTGGATAGCCTAACAAATTGACTTTAGTCTAATTGAATGGGGCCATTAATTTTTTGCATATTCTAATGTTGTCCAGTACCTTTGATATGTAGGGATGTGCCGGGTTGTCCCTGTAGATAACTTTCATCATGTCCAGCGACTCTTTGTAATACTTCATGGCTTTACTGTGATCACCAAGTTTTATCCAACATATTCCAATGTTACTAAGTGATTGAGCAGTGTCGGGATGTACTCTGTTTTCTCCATAGATAGCTTTCTTCATCTCCAGTGACTGTTCATGATAACTGATAGCTTTCCTCTGATCGCCAAGCTCATTCCAACATGCCCCAATGTTGTTTAGTGATGAAGCAATGTCAGGATGTGGCGTTGTTTCACCATAGATAGCTTTTCTGATCTTCAGTGACTGTTCGTGATAACTAAGAGCTTTTCTCTGATCACCAAGGTCATTCCAACATGCCCCAATGTTGTTTAGTGATTTAGCAACATCGGGATGTGGCGTTGTTTCACCATAGATAGCTTTCGTCATCTTCAGTGACTGTTCGTGATAAATGATAGCTTTCCTCTGATCACCAAGGTCACTCAAACAGTTCCCAATGTTGTTTAGTGATGAAGCAATGTCGGGGTGTGGCGTTGTTTTGCCATAGATAGCTTTCCTCATCTTCAGTGACTGTTCGTGAAAATGAGTATTGTCTGTCCAGTATATTTGTTTCTACATGTACAGCAACAGCTGCCTGTGTTTCACGTGTATTGCACTGTTGCAATTTCAATAAATCAAATAAAAATAAATAAAATAACTAATCAGTACACAGACTCACCAAATATGTTTACTGTGCACATAGGAGCCCAGACGCAGGTTGATTTTCAGAATATTTATAATTTTTCCTGAGAAAAATATGTACCAGTGGGACAGCACAGCAGTCCACAACTAACTGTGCAGATTGCTCACAACTTATATGCAGTAAATTATTTTGCGCCAACTTTTGTGGCAAATTACACGTAAAGTAAACTAGTAGTCAGTAACATGCCACCTTTTGTATGGAAATTACAGGGATACTCAGTAACGCATCACCTTTCATTCATAAAAAACTTCATGTTTCCTATGAAAATTACACAATACTCAGTAAAGCATGAATGTTGGGAAACAACTTTAACGCTGAATGCCTGTTGAAATTTGGGCCAAATTTTAAAATATCTATTATTATATAATAGATAAAGATACTGTAAAGAATTAAGTCAATACACTTGAAAGTACACCGGTTTGTAATAATACAAAATGTCATTTTAAATATTTACTTGAAATCATTTTAAAAACGGCCAACAACATCTGCGAGTTAGAGTAGCCTTGTATACTAGTGAATGCATTTTCGCAATGGCTCATGCTAATGTACTGTAATTCCTGATTTTTTTTTCTGATATGTTCACTGTTTTCACTGTCACTTTTGTACGGTGAACTTATCATTACAGATAACAAATAATTCCTGGACTTTCTTTTTCCTGCACCTGTCGCCACCGTGAATATATAGTTCCATGAACATTTCTCAGACGGTGAACTTTTGCTATCATGAACATAAAGTGAATTACAAGTAACGTTATATACCGTGGTGTAGTGGACTGTATTCTCGCCCTGCTATAGTGTAGTTTCGTGTTCTGTCAGCATG